TTAATTGTATGAATAATATTAAAGATAGTGGGGTTGAGTTAAAGTTGAGTTAAATATTTGAGTTGAAAAAATTGGATTGAAAAAGTCCATAAACAAACATGCCCTAAGATTCTCCCATCTGTTAAAAGCATACTGATGAGTAAATTAAAGCAAGATTTGGGGTCAGATTTTGTAGATATACATAGAATTATAGATATAAATAACAAAGTGTTAGTCCCATGATTCATAACTTCACAGCACATGGGTAGAACTACTGTACTATCCACTAGTAATTACCATTGTAAGTAAACTGATTTTTCTAAAGACAAAATATAATAGGAAAAAAAAAAAAAAGGAAAGTTGTTCATTGTGTTATGCTATAGAGATGAATTACATTTATATTCCTAATAAAGTCCTTTTTTTATACAAAAAAAAAAAATGTTATGCATTCAACATTACGCATGAACCGTGTATTAATAAATTATGTGCACTTCTAGTCAAACATGTAATCAGAAAAATTAATGGCTACTAATTGCACTTAAGAGTTGCAAACAAAATGAGACTATTGAGCTCCACTCAACATCAAATGAGTCAAACTCGAGTTCATTTACTTAAAGCTCGTTTAGTTAACAAGCTGAGTTTGTTCGATTAGTTTTGCTTATTAAGGCACATAACTAATGTTTTTCGGGATTATACATGATTCGGTTGGGTAAAACTGATCGACTAGTCGAACTCGTTTAGTTAACTAATCAAGTTTCTATAAAAGCTCAGTATCAAGAGCTCGAACTCAATTCGGTTTTACAACTAATTGCAATCCGTGTTCACTAATATAATAATTTTATTAATTCTTTCGGAGCTGTTTATATATAGTGTTTAGAAACAAAGGTCAAATCTCATTTTCTACGAGCACAAGTAATTTCACTACATCCTCAAGAACTTAATGAGACATTAGAGATGAATCTACTCAACATACAAAAGTTTTAATTACTAAAACACTATTATTGAACAAATCTCGTGTCACTAAAATTAATTTCAAATTACACAAAAGCGCAACAAAATAAAAAAAGATAATGTATTTGGTATTTACACAATCCAAAGTAGACAAAACATGAAATGAGCCAAATATTTTGAATAAAATAAGGTGCCCAAATCTTCCGTATGAAGAGAAAATCACCTGTTTATTGAACACTTCTTACATCCCAAAATTTACACGATCCATGACGTCATAATACATGTAACAATTTACATTATTTAGGTTAGAATATTTTGGATTGGACTACTCCATGACTTAAAGTTGTGAAAGGGGGCCCACACTCACCATCCTTTCAGAAAAAAAAAAAAAAAAAAAAAAATATACGTGAAAAAACTATGTCCCTTCAACAATATTTACTACATGTCAGCATGTGACAAATTGTGTTGTGGTCAACAAGCGCATGATTATAATTTTGACCTCAAAATTGGTGTCTAAATTTAGAAAATTAACATAGTGACTATTCGTATCATAGGTCATGGCTAAAATACAATATTTTTTTTTGTGCATAGTGGATGTGTATACATAAATTAACCAAGATCTAAATATAATGATTATGTTATAGCATGACATAAAATTATTAGATGTAGCTTAAGTGCACTTGTACAAGAAATAAGCCTAACATCAGTAGTATTATTCGACCCGCGCTCATTTAATCAACTAACCGAATTTGAGATACAATATATATATATATATATATATATATATATAATTTTTCAAATATTCGGTTGATTGAGGCTATAAATCGGCTGGATAAGAATTAAAGATCAATTTGAGCTCGTTTATCAATTCGACAAGCTCAATAAAGGCTAATTAACTAGTTAACTAAGTAAAAAATTTAAAAATGATATAGTAATTATATATATATATTTTTATTTTTTTTGGTACAGGAACATTTCGGTTTCTGGATCCACAGGGAAACCGACTAATCTGGAACTGAGCCGGGTAGGACCACAAGGGTGGCAAAACTTTCCCTCAAGAGTTTTAACACTGCTGCATTCTCAGGACTCGAACACGAGACCACTGATTAAGTTGGAAGAGACCCCAACCATCTCATCCAAACGCGTATATATATACACTTTAAATATTGATCCGACAACATGCAAACACGTGGCTAACCTAACTTGACCCGAGGGGAAAAACACAGTGCTCCACGAAACTGTTTTTTGGTGGGGCCCACAGACATTCTCCTTACCGGCAGGCGTGCTCTTGAGGATTATCCTCCTCACACTCACCCATCAGACCTATTAATGGGGCCCACCACCATTATTCCTAATTTTCTATTTACGCACTAATTCTTTCTGCTCCTTTTCCGAATTTTTTTTACTCTCTTATTATAATTTTTTTTTTAGTTTATCGTATTTTTTTTTTTCTAGTTTATATTATTACTTTATTTTTCAGCTGAGCGTCGGCACTAATGGTGATGGGACCTGTTAGGAGGTTTGTAGAATTAAAGTTAATCCTATGCCAAAAAAAAAAAAAAAATCTTGTGAAAAATGATTCGTGGTTTGTAATTCTGTATTAAATTTTGATTGTATATGTCAATTTTTTTTGTAATTTGAAATAATATCTGAATTCTGTTTATATTTAGAACTTTTAAAATTATAATACACATGACTAGTTTATAATAAAATATATTTAAAAATTTCTGAACTTTTGTATTTGTTTAATATAAAGTATATCGACTAATTATCTTTTGCATACATAAAATATAATTTATTGTATTTTATTTAATATAAAATTAAATTTTCTATTAATACGAATTGAAAATAATAAAAGTATATATCAATGAACAAAATTTATCAATAAAAATATTCAAAATTCAAATAAGAAAAACTATTTCTTCCATTTTTAAATAATTTCAATATAATATTTTTGACAAACACTCGTTAAATCACATTGTTGTTGTACCAGTATATAATATGTGATTGTGTAAGATTAATCAAAAAAGTTTTGAATACAAAAATAAATTAGAGATACGTGTTAAATCCCAAAATATTTTATTATGCTATTGATTTTTTGTTCAATGAAGAACAAATAAAATAAAACTAATAATAATTAAACAAAACAAAGAAATAATTTAAAAATAGTATCAAATAAAATAAAACTTACTCCCCTTCTGTATTCCGGTCTACCAAAAATAAGGACTAATCAATTCATCAAAGAACCGGGGAATATGTTTGCCCACTATCATCAACCTATAATTCAGGCGCCGGCGCCGCCTCCACCGCCGGCGCCGCCATCATCTCCCCAATTTCGCCTTTCATTCCCGAAGTTCAGCAGCCAACACTCCCGGCGAGCACCATTAACAGAAAAGCATCAATCAGACCTATCACCTTCTCAAACTCGAACCACTTCCCCCTTTCTCGGCGGCGGATTAAATTCCGGCGACTATGCTTCAGCACTCGATTCATGCAACTGCCTCGAGCTTGGAAAACAGGTCCACGCTCACCTCCTCAAGAACGGGTTTCACGGCAGCGAGTTTGTACAGACAAAGCTACTCAAATTCTATGGGAAATTGGGTTGTGTTGAACAATTACTCAAGGTGTTCGACAAAATGCCCGAGAGAAACTTATACTCGTACACAACCATCATAAACGTACTTTTGGTCAACGGGCTTCACGAGAAAGCCTTGACATATTTCGAGAGGTTGCTCTTCGAGGATATCGTGTTGGAGTTTTTCATTTTTCCGGTGGCTTTAAAGATTTGCAGTTCCCATGGTGGGGTCGAGTTAGGGAGACAGCTTCACGGGTTGTCGGCAAAAATTGGAGTCTTGCAGCATAATTATGTCGGGAATGCTTTAATCGATATGTATGGGAAATGCGGGAGCTTGAGCGATGCAGAGAGTGTTTTTGTTAAAATGCCGATGAGGGATTGTGTTTCTTGGAACTCCATGGTAACGGCTTGTGCTGCTAATGGGAAGGTATTCGAAGCGTTGAGTTTTTTGGAGCAAATGTTAGGGGAAAATGATTTGAGACCGAACTTTGTCACGTGGAGTGCTTTGATTGGTGGGTTTGCGCAGAATGGACATGACGCGGAGGCCATTGGGATGGTGTATGAAATGAGAGCCTCAGGTTTCGAGCCGAATGCAAGGATATTGGCGAGTGTTCTTCCCGCATGTGCTAGGTTGAGGAAATTGAGGTTAGGAAATGAAATGTACGGATATATCATGCGACACGGGTTTATGTCGAGCCCTTATATCGTCAATGGATTGGTCGATCTCTACCGGAGGAATGGAGCCATGGAAAGTGCTTACAAGGTTTTCTCTAGATTTTCGGTGAGGGATGAGGTGTCTTTCAATACCATGATCGCGGGGTATTGTGAAAATGGGGAGATTTCGAAGGCGAAAGATCTTTTTCAGTGGATGGAAAATGAGGGGAAGTTGAAGGACTTGATTTCATGGAACTCGATGATCTCGGGATATGTAGATAATCTCATGTTCGACGAGGCTTTGAGATTGTTTATGGATTTAATAGGAAGTGGAAAAATCGAACCCGATTCTTTTACCTTGGGCAGCGTTCTTAAAGCTTGTGCGGATATAGGTTTTCACAAATTCGGAAAAGCTATACATTCATATTGCATAGCCAAAGGCTTTCAGTCAAATCCTTTTGTGGGGGGAGGATTGGTGGACATGTATTGTCAGTGCCGAGATCTTGAAGCTGCAAAAAAGGCCTTTTGTCAAGTGAAGGAAAAAGATATAGTGATTTGGAACACCCTCGTTTCTGGTTATGCTACCTGCAACCAAATCCAAAGCATTCAATCTGTTCTTGAGTCGATGAAAGATGATGGATTTGAACCGAATATATACACATGGAACGGAATAATTGCAGGTTACGTGGAAAACGGACACCATGAGTTGGCTCTAAAACTATTTTCGGATCTGCAAACTTCAAGTTTGAAACCTGATATATACACAGTTGGAATAGTTATACCTGTCTGCTCGAGGCTAGCTTCTGTCGAGAGAAGCAAGCAAATTCATGCATATGCAGTGAGGTGTGGATTCGAACGGGACGTGTACATAAGAGCTGCCTTGATAGATACGTATGTGAAATGTGGGATCATGAAGTATGCCAAACTTATCCACAATGGGACCAAAAACCATAATCTTGTCACCCATAATGCCATGCTAAATGCATATGCCATGCACGGGCATGGGGATGATGGAATCGATTTCTTTCGTAAAATGCTGTTAAATGGGCTTACACCAGATAAAGTGACTTTTCTTGCAGTTTTGTCTTCATGTGTTCATGCGGGCTCAGTTTCGACTGGACTAGAGTTTTTCAATTTGATGGGATCTTATGGGGTTAAACCGACATTAAAGCACTATACATGTATGGTTGACTTGCTGAGTCGAGCAGGAAAACTCAAGCATGCACACGAGTTGATCGACAAAATGCCTATGAGACCTGATGCAGTGGTTTGGGGTGCTCTGCTTGGTGGCTGTATTATCTATGGGGATGTTGATATGGGAGAAATGGCTGCAAATAAGCTCATTGAAATAGAACCGGATAACTCTGGGAACTATGTGATGCTGGCAAATTTATATGCATCTACGGGTAGATGGCATGAATTGAGAAAAATAAGGCAACGAATGAAAGACGAACAACTGCTTAAAAGTCCAGGTTGCAGTTGGATCGAGGATAAAGATGAGACACATGTGTTTATGGCAAGGGACAAATCTCACAAGAGAGCAAAAGAGATTTACGACATATTGGATAACTTAACAGCACAAATGAGATCGGAACAGGTTCAATTATTGTAAACTTCTGCCAACAAAAAGACACGAGTGCACATAAAATATGTATATGTTGATGCCAAAAGCTCTGTTTTGTAATAGCTTTAGTAAAGATCAATTGACTCGAGTACCCTTCGAGCTTGAATATGCAAAGCCGTTAACCTTTGCTCGGGATCCAGGGTTGATCCAAATTGACTTGCTGCCCATATTAAGGAGGCAGATTTTTCCCCCAAGAATCGCCTCACATCCTCGTGTATTGTCATCATTGGAGGTTTTTCCCTTCCATTTACATGTCCAATGAGAAGTAACAGAAATTCACCACATTTCAACCTGATTGAATATGGCTGTTAGAAATCTGGAATATGTTGAGGGAGTGTTACTTATGATTAAATTTTACTCGGTACGAAGTTGGCGATACATGCCGAAGTAAACAAACAAACCTTAGATTTTCCTCTGTTTGTTTATCTCTTATAAGAAGAGCAACTTCCTCGATGCCATTGCATGCCTCAAAATCCTGGCAGGTAATTAAGTAGTAGATATCAATAACCAAGCAAACTACAACAAGTACTCTCGGATGTTGAAATACATACAGTATTCCCTACAACTAATGAAAAAGGGCATCAAACACCAACATTGAGAATGTTTTAGATATCTAACAAGATTTGAGAAGTCGAGGGAAAACATAGCCTCAGATTGCATATAGAATTGACGAACAATTAGGGCTCAAACTAGTTCTCTCATGATTACACCTACTGTCAATAATCACTTACAGATAATAATTTTTTCAGTAATTTGCTGTGACAAGCTACAACCTACCATTTGATTGGAGGATGAATCCAGCATAATTGCAATTAAAGCATCAAGGCATGCACCTTGCTCGAGTACCCCACGGGTTGACAAGATATTCATTAGCACCTGCCATTGGTCAATGTAAATATAATCCGACACCTGCAGACAAATAGCATCCCGAATAAAATGAGTTTCACTTTCACATACTGTAATTGCCTTGTGCTGATGAGCCAAGATCGTGCTCTCCGGATGAAGAAGACAGCACCCTTCAAGAACTCGAAGAGCAAGAGCCACCTCAGCATCTGTGGCAGGGCTAGTTATCTTCATAGGTTCCACAGTGAATATGTGGTTCAGATTGGCCACATGATGTTCTTCTACCTCTCTAAGGGAATGTTGAAACAGAACAGGCACAACTGGTCATACAAAAAGAGCAAATCATATTTCAGAATGAACAAAATGATAGGAAAATCTTTTTCGAAAAGCTTCCAAGCTCAATCCATCTAACATTTCTAGTTCAACAGCCGAAAAAGAAATCCACTCGACTGAGTGAGTTCAACAAACATTGACAGAAACGAATATCCCACTCGAATGAGTGTTAACCAGCTAACACTAACACAACATGTTCTCCAGAAATTGAATCATTTACAAGTAGCACAAAAACTTCCACCTACATGACCATTTTTTGTGCACAAAATTGCAGAAAAAACAAAATCACACACTAGCTCACAATTTAATCGGAAAACATAGAAAATCAAACAAACAAACAAACGGAAGCTCAAGTCTACATTTCCAGAATCGAATTGAAAACAAAAAGAAGCAAAATTCCTAATGGACCGGATCAAACACACCTTGGAGCTCGGGTATGGATTGCGAGTGGCAAAAGAGATTAATCGTATCATCCGATTCGGCAACTGATCGGAGGAACTTGAGAAGGCTGCGAAGTCCGCGAATACGTAGGAACGAGAACTCAGCCCGGGCCTCGCGGAGCCCTGTTCGGAGTGCGAGGGTCACCTCGCGGTACAATCTCTGCCGGTCAAGCGACTTGACCAGCTCGAAAACCGGCGACGGCTGCTCAGATTCCGGCTCCCGGTCGAAGGAGTCACTCCAAAACGGCTTCTTCAGGTACATTCCTTTTTTAATTTAATTTTTTCTCTTTCGGCTATGGGAGATTTTGACGCCTGAAAATGACCTGCCGATAGAGAATTGCGTCTTTTATTTCGCTGGGGCCGCTGGGCATCACGGAGTGGGGGAAACTTGTATATCGCATTGTAATGTGTGATTTCGTTCCACGCTTTCTTTTTTGGTTATACTTTTATCAATCTTAACTCCCTTTATTCACTAAATTAAATCAATCCAAAAAAATTACATTTTTGGCATTTATCATTATGTAGATTTTGAAATTTACATGTTTGATAGAACAATAAATGAGTCGAACTCGAGTATCACGAGTTAGAGCTCTAATTAGAGGCTTAGAGCTTGTTATTTTAACATGGTAATAAACAAGTTAGTTGAAGCTGAATCATAATAAACACATATCTAATAAAAGTTCAAAACATTACATGCAAATTTATATTTATAATGTTTTACATATATAAATTTGGTAAGATTATAGGCCTAGCGATCGGAGTTTGACTCGTTGCCAAATTATTAGTCGGTCGACTCGTTGTACTCTTTTAAAGAAAGAAATACATATTACGACATGACATGTTATACTTTTATTTATGTTGTGTTTAGAGCATATAATTCAATTTGTATACTTGAAAGTATACATCTCTTAACAAAAAATGATGACAAACAACAGTTCCTTGTCCTAAAAGAACATGATTGGCATCAAGTATTCAAACTTGTTGAAGAGTTCTATAATTATTCACATGGTATATTAGTTATAGCCTAAAATAATTGGACAAGCTTCATTAGTATTAAGCTTAACTATTCCTTAATGATAAAAGAAAAGCTTAACTATTCATTTTTCTAGAAGTTACCAAATGGCCTGCTGGAAATAGAAGAATCTGCAGGATCAATGAACATATGTGGAAATGCCTTAAAAGCAATGGTAAACTTGAAATTCATATGTACGAGTCAACAACAAAGTCTTATGACCCTCTTATCATCAACTGCCATATTTTTTTTATTTTTTTTTTTTGCACTTGAAGATTTCACTACACACATACAAGTATACAACTACCAATTCTCCTTAACAATTTTCGACTTTTCGAATATGAATTTACCCTCCTTGTACTTCTGTGAGGCCTCGTGGGCCCGTTCGTATTTCCACCCCAAAACCTCATTGCAATCTCCGCAAGATATATCAGCCAGGAGGCCCGTCATGAGATTCCGATTCTCTTTTGGCCCAACAACAATGTTCATTGCATGGGAGAACAAAAAAGCTCTTCCGTGCCTTCCCTATAATACAAAAAATTAGTGGCATTGACTCGTTTTACTTATAGTTTAAACTTTAAAGTATTTACCTCGTGACTGGGAAAACAACAAAACAAAAGAATGAAAATGATAGATTTTACTTTTACTGTTTTCAAGAGCTTAATTAATTCTGCTTTCTTCAAGTCTTGAATAATTTAGTTCGTAGTAGTATATGATGTGTCGATTCTTCCTAACGGTTAGACTTCCTCATAGCATAATTCGTGTCACTTTTCATACATTCAAGCATTAGCTATAATTAGCAGACATTACCAGGCACCAGCTTTTGATTCTACACTACTTTTTCACATCTGATTCAAAATTTTCAGTTCATTTCCAATCAAACACCCTTGTCACATAGCAAGCAAACAAACAAACAAACTTACAAAAAGAATAGACCTTTTTTTTTTCATGTTATTTCTTCGTTTTTTTCTTTATGGAAGTATTATTGAGTTTCATTCTATGGTCTCACTTAGTCATGTTCCTATCTCCAAAGATTACATGAGGGACAAATCAACATAATCTTTATATTGGATATCCAACTCTGCAATTTATTTATCTTCAACAACAAGGTTTATTGTGTGTGTGTGTGTGTAGGGGCAAATATTCACAATTCACAATAGTTGGGAATGTTTTTTCACCTTAAACGCCTTAGAGATTATATCATCGTGAAGGCAAACGTGATTCCGGCACTTGCAGCAGTTGTACAAACGAGGGCCAACTAATTCACCCATTGAACAATATTCCCAAGCACAAATACCTCGCTGATTATTGCGAAAAGCCATAAAAACAAGTATTCGAGAATAATCAATAAGAAGACATGAAATTAGGAAACAACAAAAAGAGCTAAAGACTTCCAAAACTTTACTAACACACGTGAACTTCAAACACACAAGAAGAGATTAGACTTTGAACAATACTAGTTTTTAACACGTGCATTTGCACGGAAGACATTATAATAGAAAAAAATAATAATAAAAAGATATAAACAATAGTAAAAATCATAATATTATCATTGGAAAAATATTCTAAAAAAGAATAACTAAATATTGTTAAACAATTCTTTATATACAACGTTTGTGGTCTTTCTATCAACATAATCTCCATCACTACAAATCACTATCTTCAAATTAAGACATATAGTGATTTTATTTTTTAAATAATTATTGTATTTTGTACTATAGATCATATAGGAAATTTAAAAAAATACTATAATAATACCAGCAAAATATTACAAAATAAATAATTGTATTTGGTTGATAAATAAAGATATGTGCCAAATATTTAAGACATTTGAACAAAATGGCAATTGTTGGGCCATAAAGAAATATATTGATTGAATGATGTAAAAATGTCAATGATAACATGACTATAAATAGAGATAAACTCCTTGAGTGATGTAAGCCAATTTTTTTGTTTGATGTCGACGATTCTTTCGTTGTTCACTCTGTCTGAAACCCTAATCCTTAACCCAATCTTACGACAAACTCGGCGAGATTCAATTCAAAATAAATGTTTTTTCGGAGATTTTCTCCCAGTAAAGGCTTAAAAAATAAAAATAAAAAGAAATCCGAGAAATGTTATTTTTGTAGCCAACAGTAGTAATCGAAAAATAAATATTCGTCCCGATTTCTTAACATGTGTTGCTAAATATTAACAAGTCAGTCAAAATCGGGCGATAATATTACAAATCTATGAAGAGCTGAAATATTTTTTGTTAAACATAGTTTATATTTTTTATTATTTTCAATGATCTGTGTCATTTTTCGAAATTCCTTTTGAATAAGCTTCAAAGATATATCATATTTTATACATAATTCAAAATTATCTAGATGTTTTTCGAAATCGTTTTTCGAAGAGAACATGACATTGGTCGAACATTTTTAAACTTTTATGTATTTTGTTCAAGGTTTGAAAAATAGGTAAGTTTCTAACAGATCTATTTAGCTCTACTAACAAATGTATAGGTAAGTTTATAATTGTTGAGTGAAGATGACAATATGACATACGAATTAAAAACGAGAAAAGTAAACAACACAAGATTTACGTGGTTCGGCAATATGCCTACGTCCACGGCGGCTGAGGGATCTTTATTATTCTCAATAGTCTCAAATACATCAATACACCATGTATTTATACTATAACCCTACAAGGTATTAATTTACTTAAATACCTCCGCTCACTTCGCTCGGTCGCTCCGCTTCCCTCGCTACGTTCGTTCCGTTACGCTCGCAGGCATCAGCCTGCCTCCTTCCTTTGTCAATATATGAGCCATATCAACAATAACATATCTATTCATATATGTTTATAACATACATATGTAACTTTTATGTATTTTGTTCAGATTTTGAACACTAAATAGTTTAATTCTTTCTCGTCTTTCTCATCATATCAGTAAGTGAAGTTTTGCTAACATTTGTTCGAAATCGCTTTTTGAAGTTGTTCAAAGTCTTTTGCCGAAGTTTTTCAAAGTTTTTAGTATTTTGTTCAAAATTTAGAAATATTAGGTAAGTTTATAACAAATCTGTTTACATATATTTATCGCATATTAGGAATTTCTTGTTTAATGTTTAAAAGAATATGTAGGAATTTTCATTTTAAAAACTTTTACGGCAAAAATCGATTTTAATATAAAGGCAGATGTCTTGGTAAAAGTTGAATGTGTTGATAATGATAGGGAAATCAAATTATTTTTCTTTCTATTTTGTATAGTGTTCAATAATGTTCCACATAATTTTTTGTGTTTTTAATTTTGATTTTTTTCATATAGATTTGACTTTTTTTGTTGATTATTTATGCTTGATATTTCTATATCATACAACAATCTGTCATTACATACAATGTCTTGTCAATCCTCATTCTTTGACTTTGCCAATTTTCGTTTAATATGACCTTTCTGTTGCTGAAAGTATGGTTTTTAATGCCTTAAAATATTGATGTTTTGGATATGTTGTGATGCTATATCATGCAGAAATTTGTCCCGCCACTTCTTTCTTAAAGAGGAATTGTTTAATGAAAATTAATCATATTTATATTTATAATTGTGAAATAATTTTTTTTTCACGGCCAACATTTTTTTTTAATGAAAAATATGAGACAATTTAGTTAGCCCACTTTTTAATTTATAAAACAGAATGTTGATTGCGATAATCAAATCTGCAGAAATCATACATTTTATTGAAGAGTAGTAATATAAAATATTTTATTATTACTACCAAATGGGAAGTCAAAGATATTTAATTTTGCACTAATAATTATGATCATATGAATTTATTTTATCATATGTTTTTTCAATAAACTTTTTAAATGATAATATTGACAATGTAGACTTTGCTATAATAATTATATAGATTGTTAATTTGTTTATTTACTTCATTAATTTTTTTATATTAATTCATCTTATTATGCGTATAGTCTAACTCTATAAATTATATGTCATTTAAATGCAACTATACTACTAATTTATAAGGTTTTACTATTTGGGGGAGCTAAATTTTTATTTTAATTATGAAACTAATCTTTCTTATCATTTTGCAGCTATATGTTTGATGGAGTATGACTGGAATTTAAATTACAAAAAAAATAATTTCATTTTTTATATTGTAATGTAACATGATACGTATCATATTGTTTGTATTTATTACATTTATTATTATTTTTTATAACTTTAATTACTTATTCAATTCATAATGGAATAAAAAATAATAATATATAGTTTCTGCACAACAATAATGATTGCCACGTTTATATATATAAATGAGAATAAGAAACATAAATGTAGGATTAACTAAAAAAACCTTTTTAATTTAGCCATTAACTAATTAGGTTTAACTAAAAAAACCTTCTTAAATGTGAGATTAATGAGTAATTAATTAAAAAAAATATAATCCCTTTTGGAGGGAAAGTGAAAATGTTTTTATTAAATGTTTTATTAAATAGGATTAGCTAGTAATTATATATATAGATACATATTCATTAAAATAAAAAACACTAATCATCTTTTAATATGGTGGTTATCTATAATAAAGAAAGAGCATATTTTTCAGAATCATGTAAATCTTAAATAGCCTCAATCATTTTTTTTCTGCCATCTCTCTTTCTCTCTCTCTCTCTCTCTCTCTCTCTCTCTCTCTCTCTCTCTCTCTCTCTCTCTCTCTCTGCATTGATTTTTCTCCTTGTTCAATAATTCTCATGACAAAAAGAAGAACAATAGAGCATGTATCAAAAAAATCGAACGATTGTCAAGACGAAGCAAGGTTAACTCGGTCGAGATCCCGTACAAAATCCTGTCAACCGCAAGATCGTACAGAAAAAGTTTCAATTTGCTAAAAAGTACATCTCAATCTGCAGCTGTTAATAATGGCGTATGTGGCGGTCATGAATTCTAACGCGAAGCACATCTTTATGTTGTCAGCGCGAATTTGCTCATCATTTTGCTGAGAATTCAGGCTTTGAACCAATCCATGGAAATATTTTTGGCTCTTTCGATTGGTTTCTTGTCATTTTTTCCAATGCATTAATAACACTCCGAGAGGATGATTTTTTGGCATTTCTGATACGTAAATGTTATTTTGGTATTTTGGTGTTATCAAAAAAAATGTTATAGTGTGTGCATATTTTGTATTTTGTACTGTATAATATAATTATTATTACAAAATATGTTTATATTATTGTAATATCATATATTATTTTTTATTTTATAATTTATTTATTATTTAATATAATATATGCATTACAAAATATTCAAATGCTTTGTACAAATGGTTCGCTATCCACTCAATTCATAATTCGCGTGCATTGTAGTTGTGAGTCTTGTGACTAAGAACTTTAATGTGCATTTATTAGCACCTAAAATTAACCGCAACTTAGTAATTAATGATATTATATTGTAAATATATTAATATATTTAAATTTGCACTAAGGCCCCTGGAAAGTATCAAATTCTCAGTCCAAGCC